AAATTTGCTATATTTAAACGTCAATTATATATTTTTTAATTGTTTCTGCTCAAATCAATTGTCAATTGAATTGTCTTCAATTGAATCTGTTTTTTTTTCAATCGTCCATTAAAGTACTTCTAATTAAAATTAACTTATTAATCGTTTAATTGAAAAACTTTTAATTAAATTAGCTTGTATTAATCGTTTAATCGATCGCTCTCCGATTAATTTCGTTTATATCGATTGTCAATTAAATAATCTTCAATTGACTTCGATCATATTAATTGTTAATTAAGCGATCTTCGATTAATCTAGCTTATATCAATCGTCATTGTAACGATCTCTAACTAATCTTTCTAAAATTAATCGTTAATTAAAAATATTTTAATTAAATCTGTTCATATCATTTGTTCAATTATAAAAAATCTAATTGATATTTTGCCATCTCTGCTTCAAACAATAATCGTACCACTTTCGTCTTCTTCAATAATGTGCGGAACAGAATAGTCGCACAAACGCTCCAAACTGATCACTGGGTCATACAGGTTCTCACCTGACACGGAAATTTCAGAATCACGCACATCGGGTCCTAATGGCGTAAGTGCGGTTTCTAGGAGGAAAATCAGCTGGAGAAGCAGGAGGGATCGCTCGTTGTGGCTAAACTGTCCATCCTGCGAACGCCCGCAGGCGCTGCTGGATTTTTTTATCGCCATTCTCGAGGCAGTTCCGGTGAACGGTGGGTAGCAGTTGTGGCGTATGCCCGCATGGGCGAGGTAGCCGGAGCTCGTCGCCTTCGCGACGGCAACTCTTACAATAACTGTCTTAAACGGTCCCGCCGTACTAACTAATAATTAATTTCATTCTCCAGTTTTTGGTCGAATTAAATGCATCTTATTATTTGTCGAAATTTGTCACTAACGATCAACAATTATTTGTGAAGAATTAGTTTCATGTTTTTTGATGTTAGAGTTATGTTTTTTTATGCGCGTATCCAGATGACGTTTGATTCGCTCAATATAACAGGAATTGCAATTATTACAAAAAATTTTGTATACAGTGGAACCTCTCTCAGTTGGGTTGATGCGGAGACAAACCCGACTACGAGAGGTATCCAATAGCATGCTAGAAAGCGGTCACAATGGACTTAGCCTCTTTCCTTCTCTGTCTTCGACACAGTGCCGTGCAGTGCTCAAGCATGGAGAACGGAATCCTTACATATTTTACGAAGTGAGTGTATATTTATAATTTTGTCGCATAGCAATTGCAAAAATAATGCGACATAAGCATGCGTATGTGATCACACAACATGTATATATTACCACATGCGCATCCTCATATCGCTGACTTTCGTCCCGTGCATTGACAGATTTCCTAAACTCGTTATTTTATTTCAGGACAATTTCATGCAAAAACGCGTCGATTGAGCATTTACATAAATACAGTGAGATAGACAAAGTCAAGAAAAAATACCGGCGATTAGAAATTTCTAAAAAAATAGCAATATTGAGTTGCTTGGAAAAAGGTGAATCCGTTGCAAAATTGGCAGCTGAGTACAACGTCGCACATTCTACGATATGGTTAATCAAAAAGAAGAAAAATGACCTTTATAAATATGCAAGTTTAGTAAAGGATAATGACGGTTTTTTAAAGAAAAAAAGTAATAAACTATGTAGAACATCAGCTTCTGGATAAAGCGTTATTTATGTGGTTTCAACAACGGCGTTTATGGCCCTGATCACTTCAAAGGAAGTAACGGTTAGCTATGGAGGTGAAAAATTTATGTCTATTACGTATATATTATTTATATATTATGTACATAAAATTATGTATATATTATTTATATATTATGTACATAAATATGTATGTATACATACATATTTATGTATATATTATGACAGATTTAAACAACGACATGGTATTCGCGAGCTCAGCGTTCAAGGAGAAAGTCTGTCTAGTGATAACGAAGTTGCACAATTATTTTTTGAACAGTTTTCTGTGGAAATGAAAGAAGAAGGATACGACCCTGAAAATATATACAATGCGGACAAGAGTAGTTTGTTATGGAAAAATTTGCCAAGGAAAACTCTCGCAAGTCGTTCAGAGCAAACTGCCCCGGGACGAAAAGTACTAAAAGATCGAGTGACTTTCATGCTATGTACAAATGCTACAGAATCGCACAAGCTCAAAATTATGGTTATCGGGAAATACAAACAGCCTCGCTGCTTTAAAAACGTGACTAATTTACCAGTTTTTTTATAAAAATCAGAAGAGTACTGGATGGACGCCGAAATTTTCGAACAGTGGTTCCTAGAGTGTTTCATACCGGAAGTGGAAAAGGAACACAAACGTATGAAAAGAGAAGGAAAAGTCATACTTTTTGTTGACAATACTCCATGTCATAAACTTTCAGCTCGATGTATTACAGAGAATCCGCATTTTGTCATCAATTTTTTCCTCCGAATGTAACAACAATCAGTCAGCCAATGGATCAAGGCGTTATTGAAAAATTGAAAAGAAAGTACTAAAAAAATCTTTTGTTATCCAGTTGATTAAGCAATTGACATTCAAAGATTGTTGTGATATGATTGCAATTGCATGGGAAACAGTAACAGCAGAAAACATCTGAAATGCGTAGAAACTGTTAATTGCACTATCTACAAGCAAAAAAAATTCTTTATCTCGAGCGAATGATGTTGCTGAAACTTTAACAATGCTTCATAACATACATGGCTGTGAAGAATGCGATGAGGAAGATACGATGGCGTGGTTTAATCATAATGATCCTGGTTGGGAAATTCTTACTGACGACGTTATAGTATCTCTTTTAGGCATAAAAGTTTGTTTTATTTATTTATTTCTAAATTATTTCTTTTTGTTCCAAAATTTTCAGCATAACACTTCACTTTTCATAGACGTTTTCACATTCAATGTGGTATATTAAACTGTCTGTGTTGGTGTACATTACCCGGCATTTGTCACGATAGAGCGGTGACATGTATTCATGATGAAATTCATAAAGACATACTTTCGATATGTCGAGTATGCACATGCCGACATAGATTGGTTTATATAGTTTTACCTTTCGTAATTCTATGGCAACCAACTTTTCCGAAAATATGCTTGTACTATGAAAATTTGGTTTCGCGATCATTGCCTCTGCGCCGTATCGTCCGTCCCACTTTGTTAATAATTTTACATCCACATGATTACGCACATTTTTCATCGTTTTGCCAAATACCGCATTATTCATTAATTTATATAAATTTTTTTCAAAATTATTTTTCGCTTGTGTTTTAAACTCTGTATTAAGTTCGATATAATTTTTAAGCCATGCTGATTGAGTAAATTGTAGTATGCAGTATATTTTTGTAACGCGAAGCCCGTGACGCGTGCACTGCTGCAAGTTGTGGTAGTGTATCACGTAACGCTTCTTATCGTAAAGCGTTGCGTGATATTCTTAGCTTATACTCCCGTTTGCCGGGCGGCTTGTCGCGTGTCGGACAAAACGGTAGATCAATGTGTGCATTATGAAGATGTTGTGGATATTCTAAATCTACCTCGAGGATATAACCTGTAGGCGAATCGAGTGCGATAGATGAGATGTCGAAATTCGATACATTGTCGACCCATCAAAAATCGGCATACGGCAATGGTTGACACATTGCCCATCCGTACAAATTATTTACATCTAAGTACATGAGGTAGGATGATGGTTTCGATGAGTCGTACGATTGCATGTACTTGTTATTAGCATGTGCGTATTGACCTGAACATTGACTAAGACCGCCGCGTATACCCCGTTCGATAAACATAACCATGTCAATGTCTGTTATGATTAGCGCAAAATCAGGAAAGAAGCGCTAAATAGTGTCTCTCTCTCTTTCCCGCTCTAGCTGCGAGCCGATACGCGCTAGCGGGAAAGAGAGAGACGGCTGTCACTAAGCCGCCACGCCACGGCCAGCGAACGCGTCCGTTCGGGCCATTGTGTACCGCCAGCCGTGAAAAATATTTGTTTTAAACATACCTTTTCGTTCCTTCTAGAAAGACTCTAATAACAGAATTTGTTGTCGGAGTTGTTTTCCCGCCGGATCTTTCTAAAAGGATCAATGTCATTATAAGGCGCAAAGTCGAGCGCGGTCAGTCAGTCGCCTTTCGACAAACGACAAAATAACCGAGAATCTTTAAACGCGAAAATTATTACGGACACGGCTATTATTTGGACATCGATTTGAATTCTTATACGATTTTCGCAAGTGAAAGGCGTCGGGACATAATAATTATAAAATCCGGAATCGAAATAGTTGTGATTATCGCTTGCTTTATTCGAGTTCTATCAATAAAAGTGCAAGTTCTCTAGAAACCGACTCTATTTATTTATAGTGTCGCCCGATCTATCTCCAACAAAATTTTCTCTCCTCTCTGCGCTTCACTCACGCTTAAAGTCCGCTCGCGAACAATGTCTATAAATAATTTTAATTTTATATTTGTATATTTTAACATGGCGTCCCATGTATATCCCGGAAGAGTATAGTAATACGTAGAGTCAAGCCCATAACTCTTTATGCAACTGTCGCGAAAATTTTCAAATATGTCTGCCAATAACAAGACATTAATTATTAAATATAAATCACTATATTCACCTAGCGTTCGAAGGGAGAATCGGTTCCATACGTTCTCGGCGTGCGCATAATCACTCTCGGATACTTTTTCATCGATTAAAGAACTGTAAAATGATTCGCGCGGTGGTAAACATGCATCTTGCAATTTGTCGATACAGTCTATATATTTATATGGAAAGACGCCTTTCCGTGTCAAAAGATTGAATTTTTCACTAGATAAATTTTGAAACTGTGATTGTAAAATTTTGAATTTGTCTTTATTCAGAAAAGATGCCAATTTGTCAAGACTAGCACTGAGAAATTTATATGAGTCTATGAAACGTAATTTAATATGATTTTTTGAATTGTTGTCTTGCGTCAATTTAACAGTTTTCGAGAATGAAATGTATTTTTCTTTCGTTATTGGAAGTAATTCGATTCCCCCTTTGAACGCTGTGGCTTAGTCCTCGATAATGAAATGCGCGTCGTAACCGGACAGATTATGAAAAACTATCGGAATACAAAAAGATTATTTATAATTTAAACTGCAATTTAAGTGTGCGGGACCTCTGTACCATCCGGTGAGATGGCAATGATCGCGAACGCGTGCATCGTCTTGCTCAAACAGTTTTTCGCATATATGACAATGCGTTGCGCTGCGAAGTTTTTCCCACTCGTCAGATGTTAAATTTACCATGGGGACGTTTGTACTTAAAATATTTTTACACGTATTGCTAAATTTTTTAGTTCTTCGGCAAACCACGCCACGCAATCGACACTACGGCAGGAATTATATATAGATAATGAATTGTCGTACGAGCAATGTACATAATAAGCTAGGCTAAATACTTGATGATGCTGATATGTTTTTTCTTGTTCCATCTTTTTCAAAACGCATTCCAAATCGGCGTACACCACAAACGGAAGCCGCTCCTTTCTGTTGTAGTTGTTGAAGCTAAGCCACTTGTCCTTATCGCTCGGTAATCGGATAGCGCAGTCATTTAATTTTCCACAGTCTACAGTATGCGTCTGCAACTTGTCTTCCGAATTGAAATAGTGTAAACATCTGTAAAATAAAAAATTATAATTTTAATTAAAATTATTTTTTAAATTTTAGTTTAATAAATATATACGTACCGATCACAGATATATCTTCTACATTTCTTTTTACTCAGTTGCGCACTGACAAGTCGAGATAAATTCTTTATCCAAGCGAAATGTCCAACGCTGTTTTCGTCTTGCACGTACAGCAAATTGACGTGTCTGTCTTTTTTTCTCTGAAAGACGTAGCGGGACAATGTTGTTCTCGATGCTGTACACATTCACGGAGATGTTGTTTGCAAGTTCAAACTTTTTAATTTGATTTATAGTCACTGGAAACTCAATGTTCTGGAGATTCAGCACTGTTGTGTAATGTGGATAAGAGGATTCTCGACTCGTGCTTCTTTCAGCAGGGTAAAGAGCGGCCACCACTGACCATGCGAAACACGCATTGTCCGCTGATTGCACATTAACCACCGCTCTCTTTGTCACAATTTCTCGCGGTAATTTGATACGACATCCCGCGCGCATTGGATTGTATTTATTTATATTTACAGTTAAATCTATTATTCGCGACAATGCCCAACCGCTATCGCGTTCCTGAAACTCTTCTAGCGATGCTAGCGTGGGCTCGATAACGCGGCGCTCGTACCACTCGCGTAAATCAGACGTGCGAAAGAGTTCAAAGTTTATCGCATTGACGCTTTTATTGGCACGGTTATCACGGTTATCAGATACAAACTCACCATTAAATATAGTGTTCACCTTCACACTGATGTGTCTCTGCAACATATTTTGCACATTCTCAATTACAATGTTTTTAGCATTTTCTAAAAATTGTCGCGGTTTGATGTAGTTTGTATTAATTATTGCACCGGTCAGTATACGACTCTCGAACGCCGTATCAATTTCGCGCCAAACGAGTCTTTGCACGTTATTGTTGCCGTCGATATTGCCACCGCCACTGTATTCACCACCAATACACATATATTGTCTCTGCAAGCGTACCTTTACACCCTCGAGTCGCACTATTGTAGCCACCATAGATTGTCTATGTCCGATTGAGAGTCGCGGACGCTTGACACGGTTGCATTCTTCAAGCTGTGCGATAAATTCGTCGCACTGTTGCAACCATTCTAAAAATTTGCCCAAGGTGGCGATTTGGTGGGACCGCTCCAATTTTTTTAATTTAAATTAAAAATTTTTATTTAACTTTAAATTTTTTTAATTTCCTAAATTTAATTCTTTGTGCCTTATATTACCTTTTTTGAATATACGTTTAAATATATTTGAATTAAATAATTATTTAGAGATAAATAATTTATTTTTTATATATATCTATTTATCTAAATATTTTATAAAAATATATAATAACTTTACAATGTATATACATTCCAGTTTAAATTAATTACATAATTATTCATGTTATTTAAATATAAAGATGAATAAATATATATATATATATATATTTTTACTGAATTTATTTTGTTATTGTATATATTATAAACGTTTTAAAATAAAGCAATAATTATACATTTGTATCATTATAAGAAATTTATCTAAATATTATATATTATGTTGTCACTTACTTAGTGCAACTTTTTGATTTGACTACTTTTTGATGCTAATATTTTAACCTTTTTTCTCGTATTATCAATATAATTATTTAGCGCAATTTTTTGATTTCACTACTTTTTGATGCTAATATTTTAATTTTTTTCTAGTATTATTAACAAAAATAAAATATAATTTATAAATATAATTTTTGAGAAAATATTTTTGATAATGATTAATTTTTGCAAAGAATTATTTTGGCTATAAACATAATTTTTGAGAAGATTATATTTTTTATTATTATAAAGAACTATTTTTGCTGACGAAAGATATAACTTAGCGCTTTTTTTTTACATCTGTGATGTCTTTTTTTGTGGGATTTCACATATTTTTGCAAAAATCATTAAACAAAATGCATTAAATAAATGTATATTTTTTTATATTTATAATGAGAGAAGACGAGAGAGAGCAAGAGGACCCAAGAGAGAGAGCGGGAGAGAGCAAGAGGGAGCAAGAGGGAGCAAGAGAGAGCGAGAGAAAGCGGGAGAGAGCAAGAGAGAGCAGAGAGAGCGAGAGAGAGCGATAGAGAGCGATAGAAAGCGGGAGAGAGCGAGAGAGAGCGATAGAGAGCGATAGAAAGCGGGAGAGAGCGAGAGAGAGCGGAAAAAAACGAGAGAGAGCGAAAGAGAACGAGAGAGAGCGGGAGAGAACAAAAGAAGGCGAGAAACAGCGAGAGAGAGCGGGAAAGAGCGAGAGAACGCGAGAGAGAGCGGGAGAGAGCGAGAGAACGCGAGAGAGAGCGGGAGAAAGCGAGAGAACGCGAGCGAAAGCGGGAGAGAGCGAAAGAACGCGAGAGAGAGCGAAAGAAAGCGAGAGAGGGCGAGAGTAAGCGAAAAAAACCGAGAAAGAGCGAGAGAAGACGAGAGAGAGCGAGAGAGAGCGAGAGAAAGCGAGAGAAGGCGATAGAGAGCGAGAAAAAGCGATAGAGAGCGGGAGAAAGCGAGAGAGAGCGAAAGAGAGCGAGAGAGAGCGAGAGAGAACGAGAGAGAGCGGGAGAGGACGAGAGAAGGCGAGAAACAGCGAGAGAAAGCGAGAGAGAGCGGGAGAAAGCGAGAGAGTGCGGGAGAGAGCGGGAAAGAGCAAGAGAGAGCGAGAGAGAGCGAGAGAGGGCGAGAGAGGGCGAGAGAGAGCGAGAGAACGGGAGAGAACGAGAGAAGGCGAGAAACAGCGTGAGAAAGCGAGAGAGAGCGAAAAAAACCGAGAGAGAGCGAGAGAAGACGAGAGAGAGCGAGAGAACGCGAGAGAGAGCGGCAGAGAGCAAGAGGGAGCGAGAGACAGCGAGAGAGGGCGAGAGAGAGCGAGAGAGAGCGATACAAAGCGGGAGAGAGCGAGAGAAAGCGAAAGAAAGCGAGAGAGAGCGGGAGAGAACGAGAGAGAGCGAGAAACAGCGAGAGAAAGCGAAAAAAACCGAGAGAGAGTGAGAGAAGACGAGAGGGAGCGAGAGAGAGCGAGAGAGGCCGAGAGAACGCGAGAGAGAGCGGGAGAGAGCGAGAGAGACCGGAAGAAAGCGAGAGAGCGAGAGAGAACGAGAGAAGGCGAGAAACAGCGAGAGAAAGTGAGAAAGAGCGAAAAAAACCGAGAGAGAGCGAGAGACGACGAGAGAGAGCGAGAGAACGCGAGAGAGAGTGGGAGAGAGCGAGAGAACGCGAGAGAGAGCGGCAGAGAGCGAGAGAACGCGAGAGAGCGGTAGAGAGCAAGAGAGAGCGAGAGACAGCGAGAGAAAGCGAGAGAGGGCGAGAGAGAGCGAAAAAAGACGTGGGAAAGCAAGAGAGAAAGGGTGAAAGAGGGGGGAGAGAGAGGGGAGAGAGAGAGAGAGAGAGAGTGAGAGAGAGCAAGAATTTATTTTTTGTTTGGTTGCTTAAAAGGTTAAGCAGCTGAGGAAAATGTCACTATACTAGGATGGGTGACCGCGGATAAGGTAAAGCAGCTTCGGACAGAATCACTTTGTCGGGATGGGTGATCGGGACAAGTACGACGCCGTATCTTAAAAAAAAGTGACACCTTTTCGACCAAAAAATAACTTGAAAAATTCATATCTCCGCAACCAATAGAGCTATCAAGTTCCTTAAGGTCTCATTTTACTCGGAAAAAATCGCGCTTTCGATTGATATGGTCATCTTTTGAAAAATATGTTTCCGTTCATGAAATATTTCAAATTTTTGTTTTCAAGGTTACGAAAATCGTGTTACGTCCGGTAAAGGATACACAGTAGCGTCCTACGGATAATTTTCGCTATTGTTTCGATATTTTCACTATCTTTTCGATATCTTTCGATATTTTTTTTTGTTTTTTTGTAGATTGTATTTTAATTTGACGAATAAAAGATATAACTTAGCGAGACGCTACCGCGTCTCCTGATTTAAATTTTCTAACATTACATGTAGCAATCACAATTCTTGCACATCCTACTTTAACATATCAAACTTCTATTATAGAATATGCAGAAAATTTATTAAAACATTTTGTAAAATCATTTCAAGTTATCTACGGTTCTAAATATATTTCACATAATATTCATAATTTATTACATCTTGCTGCAGACGTAAAACAATTTGGTGCTCTGGATAAATTTAGTGCATTTAAATTTGAGAATTATATGTCTACGTTAAAGAAATTAATTCGTAAAACTAACCAACCATTACAGCAATTAACAAGAAGATTTGCAGAAATTGAGACAATACATAATAATGAAACATTCAAAATATATTCAAATTCATACGATATGGAAAAATGTTTTACACGCTCTCATTGTGATGGTCCTATTACGAAAGATTTCATTTCTGTACAACAATATAAAATTTTTTGCAATAATCAATATTATATTAACTGTGATGATCCAAAAAATAATTGCATTTCTTTTGAAAATGGACAAATAATGTCAATTTTAAATTTCATTAAATCTAATGACAATAAAATGTATGCTATTGGCAAAGTACTTGTGTTAGTGGAAGATTTATATACACAGCCTATTTCGTCATTAACTTTAAATATTGGTATCATGTCTGAATATTCTCATCTTCAGACATGAGAGTTTGATAAAATTAGAGCAAAAATGTTGAAAATGCCTTATAAAAAAAATTATATTATATTTCCGATGTTACACACAACTGAATAATACATGTTTAATATTAATTTGCATTTGTAATTAAATAATTAAACGTAATTATAATACTCTAATATAAATTGCAAATATTATTATTATTATTATTATTATTATTATTATCGTCACATTTTTATCATATTATTTACATCATAGATTATTTATAATTTCAATGCTGATCAATTTTTATTTACAGTTATTATGGCGTATAATATTGTGGAGTTCGAAGATGGTTTACAAATTGTTCCTTCTGAATGGTTAACTGAAAATAATAAGGAATGTAAATGGCCATCATATACAAGTCAAATTAAGATAAATAAAGCAATTATGAAAAGAATATTTCCTTCTGATGATTGGCAATTATATAAAATAATCCGTATTTTTGGTAGCAGCGGTTAGTAATATAAAAAATGTATTTTATTTTTTTATCAAAAATTATATAAATTAAAATTATAATATATATGTATTAAAAGTATATATTAAAATTTAAATTTTAAGTGATATTTGATTATAAAATATATAAAAACAAAAATCTAATTTTTAATATTCAAAAATTTTATACGTTTTAGATACATATGATAAAGCTATAGACAAACTTAAATTAGC